CAAAGCGCTTGAATACGGAAAGCAGAAAATTTGAGGCACACCTGCACGGACGATCTGAGGTGCATCAGCTAAGGAGGCAACGCGTGCATTGATATGTACATTGCGATAATGTTAAAAGTCATTTAATAATAAATTTGTTCCGTACAAATTAACCGTTTCTTTGTATTTTTTCAATAACACTAACGATAATAAGAAACTGCTCGCTCAGCATTCTGCAACTGGAGTTGCCACTAGTTAATACATGTATAAATGATTTGAGAGAGCAGTATTAAATTGAAATTTTGTATATTGACATAACAGAGATAATATGCATTAATATGATTTTAGTACAACAATGATATTTTCAATACTGATTTTAGGTGCTGAATTTATACGAATTTAGATTCACCCATGTATAATGTACGTGTATGTACGTGTATATTGAGTTTCGTCACATATTTTGGGATAGAAATTATCGATATAATAGCGTCTACGTGTAATGCTAATGCTTCCTCATCTTACTTGGTATGTGAGCAGCGATAGCCAGCATAAGTATGCGTGATACGCACGCTATTTCAGTTGCTAGCGATCCATCGAAGTGTAAGCTCGCAGTTTACGCGTGATAATTAAATGTACATTATTTTGTGAAAAGCCAAGCCGTGTTCGTTACAGTCGTGTCCGCGCTTTCGATATAATTGTGTTGTATTATTTAATTGTTTTTTTGTGATATCGCATAATGGCAAAGCGGAAGAGAAGCCCGATTGAGGAATGTGCCACTATTAAGCGAATAGCGTACAGCGAGAGCGAGAAGTGTATGCAGATAAGTAAGATGTCCGATGTGATCAAAAGGTAAGCCGAGTAAAATTGTATAAAAGCTATTTTGGTCATTACATTCATTACATATGACGTTGTCATTGTTTTCGCTTGTATGTTAATTATGGTATTAATTGTTTTGAGTCATTTGGATTAAAATAAGTATTTGATAGTTGTGTCTCGTTTTCAAGATTTTATATTGTTTTAATTATTGTAATGAAGGAATTTTATTTTTTTAACAAATATAAGTACAAAATATTATTAAAATAAATCATTATGTTGTAGGTGGGTCGTACGAGGCGAGGTATCGTCAATTTCTTCCATGCGATCGTTTACGGTTGGCAAAATACAAAAAGAAGTGTTTAATTTCGATTTACGTGACGACACCGGAGTGGTACGCGTTACGGCGTTTGAGAATACGGCTGCCATGATACATGATAAGCTGAAGGTATTAAGCCATAGTAATGTATTTAGTGCCAACTACAATTGTGTATTTATTTTCTTTCAATATAGGACGGGATGATCATGCAAATAACTAATTTTAAAGTGAAATTGGTTAATCCTGCGTTCAATTCCACCGGCAACGATTACGAAATCGAAATTGATTGACGTACAGTAATACGTGAAGTAATGAATTGTCCAGCCGTCGAAGGGACGAAATGTATACATTTCACTGAATTTCACGACATCCAGTCGACCAACGACAGTACTGTTGCTATAAGTAAGTATGTCTTATACATGTCCTTGTATAAATATATCGTTATTGTAATTTTTATGTATTTCATGGCAAATATATGTATATTTTGTACGATTTTAGATGTTGTCGGCATTATAAAACGTGTTTGTGATATCAAGGAAGTCCCGTCAAAATCGTCTAGTAAACCGCTGTTAAAACGCGATGTTATATTAATGGATGATAAGAAAAATACTGTACGTATGCACATGATATAAGTAGTTCACATGCCAAATGTGATATATATAATTTCTAGTTGTAAATTGTTGATTGCAGTGTGTTGTCACCATGTGGAATGACCCTGCAAGTGATTGGATGTACGAGGCCCGTGATATAATTACCATCACCGGAGCAGGCATCAATGAATTTTGCGGATTTTATTCCGTAAAGCTATACCGCACGACCGTTATTGTTAAAGATGCTGACAACCCAAAAACGGCAATGTACGTATGTTTGACTGGTAAACAATGAAACATATTTAAAACACCATGATTATGTTGTAGGTTGAAGGAGCTGTTAGACGAGCTGATGCCATAAACGAATTTCATCACAAGCGCGATTGATACCTTCGTGTTTTGTGCATATTAGTAAAAACATCGTGTTAATATTATTATGTTTCATGTATATATGTACATTATGAGATAATGGTAAGAGAAAAAGTACTATGTTTGTTAAATTATTATTGTATTTATTATTGAATTATTATATAATTGGTGTTGAATTATTAATTTTTGTGAGTATGCATTGTAAGATGTTAGTATAGCGTATTATAATTGTATTGAAATTACTTATAGTACATTATAGTGTATTTGTAACTTTTTGTAAATTGTGCGCGATACTCGTATTTAAAAAATTGTTTTTGTTTATTTCGTGTTTACACTTTAGTTTGTGTATAATGATCGCGACACTTATGAGTGACAATTATTGAATGGAAAGGATGATTTGTTTTTTATGTTGAATATTTTTGTACAATGCGAAATAGTGGTTGTTTTGTAAAAGTATTTCGAGCGCCACAACAATTACCGCGTTATGTATTATGTCGTATATTCGATAAATAAAGACCTCATAGCTGTTGAGAATTATGTAATGATGATTTATGTTTTTATTTTTAAATGCAACGCAACGTTCGCGATTTATCTATTACCAAATTGTACGAATTGCTGACGAAGATATAGTTTTAAATTGTTGTCTCGACAGTTTGACATTTGTTAGAAAGTCAACGTAGAGGTCCACAATACTCACTGAGATAATTCAATCCAACATACACTTTACCTGTAGAATTGAGGAGTCTGATACGCTGGTATTTAGCACGTTGACAATTAGGGACAGATAATTGAATTATTAAAAACATATAATATAATTTGCAATAGTGAACGATATGGGTATCTTAAATTGTCAATGCACCTGTTAATCGAAAATTATTGTATAAATTTAAAGGAAAGGTTTATGACTTAGAGATTAATACCAATTGATTACCGGACTGTACATCGTACCAGTATAAAAACACATTCCACGAAAGTAATTGTTTTAATAATCGAGGGTAAACGGAAGTTTTTCGTTATTATATAAACTTATCAACATGTTCACTTGATTCCGTATTTGTAGCATAATCGTGTTTTTGGTATCGTCGAAGTTGGATAAATTTCATGCAATTGCATGACATTGAATCAAACAAATATGAATAATGGACGACGGTGATGACGGTGGAGTCGGCCGCCGAGAACGCGGTAATCGATATCGATGACGACGATCACATCAAGACCAACAACTTCGAGACTCTCGCTGATATACGGGAGAGCCGTGTTTAAAATCTGTCTGAACTGTTATGATATAACACTATAAATTGTGTTTTATATCATTTTTACTTTGTAATGAAGCTCCTATTGAGTGTAAGTAGAGATGTCCTACCGGTGTTTGTTTCGCGTTATGTAGATATTTACACTATTAGTGGTTGGTAGGGCACCGTACGCAGTGATTTTAAATATATATAGATTGCAAGCGTAATAAGCAATTTTTTTCGTAAATTGAGTGACATCAAATCATAGCAGAATATTCCGATTAATTGAACAGAGTCAGCGTATTATTTTATTATTTATGGTTAAACTGCACGCTAAGTTTCAATGTAGAATATTACTTTTTTAATTTAAGAGGTTGTATATAAATCTTAAATGTTATTCGCAGGAAACTAAGATACAAGCAACGGTATTTAAGAAATGATAAAATGTCTTTGTATATATTTATAACGTAATACTGCTATACATTGAGAGTGTAAAGTATGAGTTGATTTTTGTACATACATATATCTATAAGTTTTGCAACTACATTGGAACGATCAATTAGGTAATCGATGTATACAATGATGAAAAAATAGGTGTTTGAAAGAGTACAATGATTCAAATGTAGTAAAATCGACTTATTTTATACTTTTAAGGGAAAGTTTTATGAAGTAGAGATTAATACCAATCCTTTCACTGGACTGTAAATCGTACCAGTATAAACACACATTAATCTAAAATGATTGTTTCAATAATTGAAAGTAGGCTGAAGTTGTACATTATTTTACAAGCTCATTAACATATTCAGTTGTTTCCGTATTATTATCATAAACGTATTGTTTTCTCGTTGAAGTTGGATATATTTCATTCAACCAACATATGGTATTAAGTGAACACGACATCGGTCAAAATATTATGCAATGATTATAACAAATATGACTGCTAGTGTACAATAAATTTTTAATATAACGATTCTCATACTATCAGTGCATTGGAAAGTATTACGATATTACAATAAGTTTTATAGTACATAATAAATAGATCAAAATTTAGAAGATTAAATAACAACTTTATTACATTTTACATGTTACATACTAAGCATGGGTATTGTATTCATTTTCATACATTTTCATTTTACATTGATTTAAGATAGCGATAATTATTCAGCTACAATATTAATTTGTGGTACTATGAGTACGGTAGCGATCTTTACTCAGCTATAACATACAATTGAGAGACAATAAGTATTGTAGCGATCTATACTCAGCTAAAATATTATGCATGTAAGTGTGATGGCGATGTGTACTCAGCCATGATTTTTTTTATTTTTCATAAAAATGATTAGGTATAGATCACTATTCACATATTACATTACTTTCAATGTCAATACAGTGACAAGCAAAATGTATCGCGCATTCTACAATGTAACGTGAAATTGTAAAGTAATTATCTTAATTGATTATCATTACGCGAACGATATGTATTTTTCATATTTATACCTTTCTACATATAATTTCATACAATTTATGTTATCATGTTAACATTAAGCCACTTTTGCAAATTCATATTTAAATAAATATACAAAATTCAAAATTTTCTAGCTTGTTGCATTTTTTTTAGTTGCATATATCACAATTGTATATACCAGCTTATTAAGTAATTATGCGACTATGGGTCAATAATGTATATGACGCAATTATTTAATGGACGGCCAATTTATTTTTCAAATTCTCAATAAACTGTATTTTCAATTTTGTCGCGCAAGATTTCCCTATTACATCGAAACGTTTTTTAGCATAAAATTCAGAAAACATGATGTTCTTAAGACTCCTGACTCGACTCAGTGCAACATATGTGAGTCCGGAACAAAATTCTTTTGTACCAATGTCAATTACGGCCGATGCTAAAGTCAATCCCTGCGATTTATGAATGGTTACCGCGTATCCTAACGATATCGGAAATTGTTTTCTACTAAACGTAACACCCTTACAATCCCACGATCGCACAATAGGAACAATAGGAAATAAATCATCTATCACACATGGACCCGTGTATGATTCAAATTTAACTAATATATAACGTGGTAAATTTGGTGGCTCAACATTTTCATCATAAACTATCGCCTTTACCGTCCCTACTGATCCATTTACTAACCCACCGGCAACCCAGACATTATGTCGTAATATGATTCTGGATCCTATAGCTAAATATAATTGCGCATCGAGACCGCATGAGTCACCATCAATCGAACGTACATTCGGCGTATGAATAGCATTAATACACGCTACAGGTGTACCCAATTTTCTCAAATTAGATAAATTTGTATCTTTTACAAGTGCATTAGTCGGTAATAAATGAACAACATTATCGAAACTTTTAATATCGTCAAGTGTCATTACACATCGTCTTCGAGTAAATAACTCAGTGAAATCCGTAACGGTTAAAGCACCTCGAGCAATTCTTTCTAACATATTAGAAAACAAAACATCATTATTTTGTCTATGAGACGTCGTCAATTCTATGAATAATTGGAACGACTGCAAAAGAATCGCTCCGTTAGTGGATACTACATCGTTTTCATTATGATTATAAAAGGCCGCATCTTTAACAGGCGGTAACTGATTAAAATCTCCAAACATATACACAATTAGGCCGCCGAATGGTTCATCACGTAATGGAAATATATCACGACAACGTTTTTCTATCTGGTACAACAATCTACATCCGACCATTGACATTTCATCGACGATAACAAATTTTAATTTCTCATTATTTAACTGAAATTTACGTAATGATTCACCACTCAAAGGCTCAAACTTACTAAAAAATAATGGTATTTTAAAATAAGCATGTATTGTCGTTCCACCGATATTTAATGCCGCTGCGCCAGTCGGAGCTACCAAAGCAACAGAGTTTTCACCAAAAGCATTCTTGATCTCATTAACGATAGAATGTATAATAGTACTTTTACCAGAGCCAGCTTTTCCTTGAACTATTATTCTTTTGTACATTTCATCATTATTATTAACACGGTTGAAATTTTCAATCTGTCGTCTACAAATGTTCAAAACCATTAATTGATCAGACGATAATGTTAAATTGTCACGTATTTCTTTTACCAACGGCATGATCTCTGTATTTTTGAATGATTTCAAAAATGCACTTACTTCGTCAAACGAAGGAAATTTACATCCACCCAATGACCAATCGTACGTTAAATCAATTAATCTCTGACCTAAACATTGGTCTACCTTTTCAGTTACAGTAGACGACACCATTTCGAACGCATTTAAATGCCTACCATCACCATCCATATCATCTTCGTTAACACTATCAAGCCTATCGTTAATATCATCTTCATTAGCATTCATAAACGTTGAGTTTAAGTCTTCTAAGTGGCGTTCCTCAAATAGAGAGAACCACGGCTGTTCAACATTTTCAATGTTCTCTACCAGGTCTTGCAAATTACTTCTAAAGGGAATTTGCAGTATACATTGCTGCTTGTAGTACAATTCCATATCCTCGCTGTTAAAGTGCTTATATTTTGGATAAATAATGACGATTTTATTATTTATGTTGCTTTTGTAGGAAGAGTTCGTTACCGTATAGGATTTGGCAAATTCCACCAGTGACAATTGTTCATATTTTTTGAGCCTTTCGATATACTTGTCTATTAATGTTTTAGACTCTTTACATGTATTATCGACCTTCACCTGAAACATAAACGAACAAAATATGTCCGTTATCGCGCGTTTTTGTTTTTATCGTTTCAACCTCTACAACATACTTATGAAACTATTATTATTATTCATAATGCATATTATAATGTATCATAAATTCAGTTTAGGAAAACCAAAACAAAATATCACAAAAACTCCACCTTACTACATATATATATATATATATATANAAATAACGACGATTTACGAAAATAATATTACCTCCAATTTGTGCCAATCCGACATGTTCGTATTAATGTAAACGAAACTCCTAGATGAACTATATAATGGCCAACCCATTAGGATATGAGCGACTTCTTGAGCAGAATAATCTCTCTCACTAACGCATGATACTATAATTTTTGCCAAAGCTGAACGTGCAAGACCATCCGTATTTTTGGCATTAATTAAATCATTGATTAAATCTACATAAGATTTTGAAGTTTTTTCTCCTTTTGAAGCATACTTTGCAAGGTAACTAATAACTGCCTTTAAATCTAATATCGGAGTACAATCCGTATTGGCTCTCCATACCTGCGTAATAATGTTATTGTATCTTTGAATGTATTGATCGTTACGCTTTGGTTTGTATGTAAAATACCCATTTTCATTATCAATTATAGACTCGTTTGAAGTATTATGTGGAAAGTTATATCTACATTTGTACATATTGTTTTTCAACCTTAAACAATGCGAACCACACTTTGTATGGCGTTGAAATGCATTAAGAAGATTACTCAAATCTTGTGCATAATTCTTACTTGCTACATCACTAAATCTAATTTTTGATGGATGCACCGATACATCAGGAGTACTCGCCATTGGATTAATTGCATAACATAATGTATCGAAGTATGTTTTTAACATTTCAATATCATCATTCGATAGGTTATCATAATCAAGTTGAGGTTCATCGGCACAATACATAATTCCATGCACATGAGGACTACCTCGATGCTGCCATTCAAATCTGAACCAATAATCCGTGACTTTAAATAATGGAACCATAACATTTTTTATAAATAAATTGGCCCTTTCTTGAAAAAATATCCTACAATTATTGGATTTTCGTGCATAACTTGCCGCCGTTCGTTGTCAGTTAAATTATTAATATCCCGCTCTGGCGATAACAAGCGAAACAAATCGGGCCAATGATAGTCAGCTGCAGATAGCGTAAAGAATATTGTCGGCTTACATAACTGATCGACCATATGCGTTAATTCGTTTGATCTACGGTGCCAATATGCACTTGTAGAACGCAAAGTTGAGCAATACGCCATTACATTATTTAACAATAATTTATTTTGTGTAATTCTATTCTTTAGTTCTTGTAACGTTTCATCCTTGATATTCATATTTTTGATATAAATATTGGATTTAGATATGGCACTATGACGCAAAATTGTATTCATAGCAAAATATCGAAAACGTGGATCCTTTGCAAATCTACCATCTTCGTAATGCATTAAATATTTAAAATATTTATCACGAGAAATAGGAATTGGTCTAGGCTGTAAGTAATCTCCTTTTCCAGTAGGAAACAATACGGGAAAAGCTAATGCTATGTACCCTTCTGTTGTAAATTCATTCACAGGCATACCAGTAGTACTTGGATAATTCAATTGTAATTCTTTATTGATTACATCATTTTGATCTATATTAATCAATGAAAATATACTACCATCACGTATTATATTATCATATTCAACAGCTTCACTGTCACAAATTACATTATCGTCCTCATTTTCATCAACTACATTCCGTATTTTATCTAAAATATCGCCGTCTACTGGCAGCATATTCAAATTACTATAAGATATCTCTATCGAATTGTAATAAATATTATTTTGTTTTAACCATAATAAAGCTCGCAACACTTTATCACTTCTCACCCGAAATTGAGCTATTCCTGATAATGTTACTTTATTCACTAATAATGTCGATGGTACTTCACGAATGTCTACTGGTAATTCATTAAGGAAAGTTTGTACTTCTTGCCTAAAATTTATTACATTTCCCGAATAACCATATTGACTGCCATGTATTCTAAATATCGATATTACCGGATGTACACGAGCTATAAGCATTTGTTCGATATACGTTAAATCTTGCAACTCGTTTGGAACAGGCCCCGGATCAATGTTATTATTTTTATAAAACATGGCTTTCCTATCATCATTACCACAAGAATGACACATACTTTTGATAAGTTTCAGGTTGGGAAACCGAATGTGACAAGTTTTGCATTGCATCCATTTTATAGCACTGATTTTTTTATCAAACTTTAAACCCGCACTAACATGTTCCTTATTTAATTTCGGAATCGAGACTAACGATGTCACATCATTACTATCATTTTCGCTACACGATCGCTCGTAGGGTTTAGCATTCATCCTCAATCTTCTTCGCATCGCTGCCGACTGTCTTTTTACTGGTGGCATGCTGTAATAATACAATTATCGTCATGAGCATATTATACCACATACTACATGTTACTGTAAGATATATAACATGTTCACATTTACAAGTATCATACTCAATTAGTCTATATTATTCCACTACACCATTTTATTTATATCGTTGTACAATAGCACGATGTTATAAAGTCTGCCACGAGAGCTGCCCATTATACAAGGCGTTATTGATCAGCATCTAAGCAAAGCTTGATAATCGTTGCTCAATATAAATTCACATCCTTTAGCGAGACGATGTAATAAACGGCAAACATTTTATTTCAATTCACATACATTAAAATTATTTCAATACTATTTACCGAAATAATAACGTTTCAACTAACTCGAACAAACAAAAATTCGCTCAACATGTACGCTATCATATATGACAATTTATACTTTTCAATCAGACAAAACTATGATCAGTAATAAATGTTTGTTTAAACAACCCACAGATTTAGTTACAATAGTAAGATTAATTTTGTTCATTTGCACAATTATCGACTCAACCCAAACAAATCATATTTAATATTAACGCTAACCCAACTCAAACCAAACCACATTCGTATTTGTATACATAATTTATAATTACGTTTATCAGCGACAGTTACAATGGCACAATAACGAACTCTTCTCTGTATCACAAATATCACACGACGGCTACGATCTTCAAAATCAAATGGCACTCAACTATAATTGCACTTCTAATCTTGCAAAATATAATACAACACGTTATACACAGCCATACACATTTATATATATTTTACTAACAATGTCAGACACATATACACGCCGATATTGCGATTAATACTTCGTGTCACGTATTGATATATGTACTATTTCGCGTACACTGCCCGAGTTGGCTAAATAACAACTTATACGTAATCGACCGATCATCCTTGAAATGATACAAAATACTATTATTATTATTATTATAATTATTATTATTATAAGTATTATATTATTATTACTATTACAATAAGCATTATTATTATAATTATTATAAGTATTATTATTATTATTATTATTATTACTTTTATTTTTTTTTTTATTCTTAGGCGTAATACAATATTTCTACTTTATTGTACTTAACACGGAATTCCGATTTTACCAACTGCAGATATATAATAGAACACGTTAATATCGCAATACATTTCGCGGCACAGGTGTTTCGTTTGTGTTGCGAGAATACAGTAACCAGGCATTATACGTTTAACGTAGTTCCGTGACCTGAAACTTTGAAACGGACGATCGTACACATACACCTACGAATACGAAAAACCCAGCTGATTCTTATCTCCTAAAAATGCTACACAAATCAGATAAGCAACCACAGAAGAGCCAACCTATTCGTATACATTGATGTTTGTACGATTCACGATTATTGTTCGTCAATGTATTTAGCGTCCGTTAATTTGAAACGGTTAATGTACTTAATTTATACTAACAGTTGATAATTTTCAAATTATACATATGTTTGGTTAGTAATGCAATTTTATCGTTAATCTGTTCAATTTATTTTATAATTTTCGTTACTTTCAAATATATCATAAACACGGATAATTACAGTTCTTACCGTACGAATGTGGTGTAGAAGGTAAGAGAAACACTGGGAGTTGCGAATTTCCTCCTTCCGTGTACGAAGCAACCGCATTTTCAGCTGAATGCTGCGACAACGGTAGTATTTGCAACATCCCTGATTTGTTCATTATTGCGGGTGTTGATGACAACAACGGTGCTTTACCACAGCATGGCGAATTGCATCGGACGTTCGCTACTGCTGCAAGCTTCTTCTTCGCGTCTTGCAATTCCTTTTTCAATGCGGCTACCTCCTGCAACGTCTCTCGCGATTTTTGCATGGCAGCTTTTAGTTGCTCCTGCATTGTGTTAATATCTTGAATTATATTATACGAAGTCTCAGATTGTGCCTGCATTTACATATGTTAAATTATTAAAACTTATTATGTAGGATTAATGGAACACACGAACTTCAATGAATATAAACAAATACGTACGAGATCCAATTTCGTTGGTGTTGATTTAGAAGCTCCCATGGCGGATATACAATGAAACAAAAACTACAAAATAATCATATCAAATTACATGCATATTATACACATCGCGTACTTTAAATGCTGTAATTGGTATATACGTAAAGAAATGGATCTATTATGCAGTTGCACTTACGATTACAAGCAGAAGTAACTTTAACTATGTTGCACGACGTATTGCACACTCGGTAAGAATGCCTGATTGATGATCACAACACAAACGAGACACACGTGGCTTGCGGTGTACCGCACCGCGTGCCGCGTACCGCGTGTTACTCAGTTGGTAACATCAGAATCCCATGTTACGTGTGATAAAGTAGAAAAAGTAAAATGTTTCGACAACGCACAATCTTATACGTGTCCAATAATTGTAAACCAATTTCAATACAAAAACATTACATATTTTAGCGCTTACCCTTGGAATTATTCATATAATGATTGTAATTGAAAATCATGTCTATTCTTTTGCCTGCTCTAATAAAACTACAATATACAATAGATTTTCAGATTTAATGAGTATTCAGTCCATTTATTTAGATGTTATTTACATACTATGAAACAAATACTTACCTTTTCCTTAAATAATTTCTAAACATTAGAAGTATACATTAGTATTAGGCCAGATCGGCAATCTGGTGCACCAGGTCGACGGAAGGTGACCTAAAACCTATCAATCAATGAGTACCATAGGAAAACAACGAGAATCCCAGGAGAAGTTCCCACATGGGCCAGATAAGCAACC